CACAGAGCAGAGGACAATCAGGTCTATTGGAAACAGGAGGGACCTTGAAAAGAGGGTGGCTTAAAGGTTGAAATTTGTGAGCCTAGATGCATGGTGTCACCCTCATCAGGTGGCTAGAGCCAGTGGCTGACTGGTATGGAGGTGCAAGAGCTCTGTTCTCTTGCCTCAAAGCACAAAAAACTCTGGGGTGCAATTTAGACTCTAGATCTCTCCATGGCATCAGGTTGAAGGTAGATTTCCCTTTCTTACTTAATTTATTCCCAGGCTTTCTTGCTTCGCTTCTTTCTACACAAATTTCTCCGGTGAGCACTCTCTCAATAAGTCACACGAGTCTTTGTCTTTTAGGAAATGTGAATTCAGAGAGCAGGAATTCCTGAATATCTGGAAATTGTACCGGTTAAGTGCTGGTCTGGGGGTTCTGAGTAGGTGATAATGACTCTCCATCCCTCTATGAACACGTGTTTATGTTTCCCAAATGTCAAATCCTAACATGTCTATTTCATAGATACTAAATATCCCCATGCCCCTTAGACATTTCCGCACTGATAAGATATAGGAAAGAAGGGAAGCAAAGGTGGGGTATGTTATGGCATCATATCACCCTCATGCCCCCATCTCAGAAATATGTGGCGAAGAGCATGAATCTAGGGCCAGAGGTGAGAGGCAGGGGCTAGAAACAGGAGAAATATGAACTGCCATAAATATTCCAATGGGATGGCATTCCAATATTAGCACTTGGACTTTGGGTCCAGCCCGCTAGAAGCAAACTGTGAAACTCCCTGGGTGGGCAATGACTCTGTGATGTATTAATAAACCTAAGATCCTGAGTAACCCACAGTTAAATGTAAAAACTCACCTAGCTTAGGGCTGGTGAGGTAGGCATTGGAGGAGATGGCGACGAAGTACAGGGCTGTCTGTGTGGGAGCATCTCCACAGGCTGCTTGGACCTTCTCACAGCATGGTGGCTAGATTCCAAGATACAGGAAGTAAATGCTGGGCTCTTTCTTTTCTTTTCTCTTCTTTTCTTTCTTCTTTCTTTCTCTTTCTTTATTTCCTTCTCTCTCTCTCTCTCTCTCTCTCTCTCTCTCTCTGTGTGTGTGTGTGTGTGTGTGTGTGTGTGTGTGTGTGTGTGTGTGTGTGTATCTCACATCGTATTGGTTTTGTTTCTATGAAGAACCCTAATACACCTTCATAATGTGGGTGGGCCTCATCCAATCCATTGAAAACCTTAAGGAAGAGACTGATCTCCCCCAAGCAAAAGGGAATTCCACCAACAGACTTTGACCTGCAGCATCAATTCTTTCCTGGGTCTCCTGTCTGCCTCCCCTGCAGATTTTGGACTTGCCAGCCTCCATACTTGTATGTGTGCCAATTCCCTAAAATGAAAATGTTTAAATATTTATTCATTTATTTAACGCACATCCTCTTGGTTCTGTTGCTCTGGAGGACCCTGACTAACATGCCTTTCGGTGAGCAGTGACTCTGCCCGTTAGTCATCATGGCCTAATCAGTGACTTGTTATCTGGCCACTCAAGGTAGCAGCTCATCTGTGAGAAGGAGAACTAGAAAGGGGCGAGCAAGGAGTCAGGCAGAGCGCCAACCCCCCTTAAAGGAGAGGGCTGTAGAGGGTCCAACATGGGTGCTAAGACCCTTCGGACTGCCCTTCAGATTCTTCCACCCACCTAGCAAGGGCATCACGGACCCAGGGGTCTTTCTCAATGTTGTCCTCCAAATGACAGCCTGTATGGCCATTGCAAAATAGGACACAGAATTGCAGGAAGAAGTGGATGCGTTGGGATTCCTTAGCCTTATCTTTGAGGCTGTTGACTGATCAAGGAAAGAGAGAGCCTCAGAACATAGCAAAGGGAAAGCAGGGCTAGGAATCAGAAAGGCCTGGTTCTTGCAGGAGTTCCAACACTTACAATTTCTGTAAGTGGAGACCATTACTCAAGCCTCTGTCTATTCTGCAATAAAATGGATCTAACAGTAAATCCTCTGCCTATACCTGGACCAGAGTGTACACATTAATTGAGCTAATAGGTCTGAGAATCTGCATATCAGTCAGGGCTGCATTTCAGTCAAGAGAAGCAACACCGCCAGGAGATATATGTCCGAAGGGATTTATATAGTGATTTGACCCTGCACAGTGGTGGGAGCTGGGGGCACAGTCTACATGAGGCCCGCTGTTTCTGTGTCTTATGCTAGAACCTGGCATCCATGGGACAGACAGGCAGGAAAGGATGATGGACATGAAGCGGAGGATCGCAAGGACAGAGGGGAACCTGAGAGACTGAGCTAGAACCACAAAAACAGGCCAGAACTCATGTAGATCTCTCACTGCCTCTAAGTCTCCAGCATTGATGATGAGAGAATCCTGCAGGAGTATCTGGTGCTCTTTGTTATGCAGTTTAACATGCCTCTGAGCCAGGAGTGGAGAGAACCGAAAGCAGATCCAGGAACTGTGGGACTGGCTGCTTCCTCAACCAACGAGGTGAACCAGCAGATAAGGGACAGAGTGCCTGAGCTGCACCACCCCCTGCAGGCTCCAGCCTCCCCAGCACAGAAAGCAAGATGGCTGATGCCCCACGTCTACCTTCCGAATCTTATGCAAAATGTCCCTGTGGCTCACGTCAACCTGGAACTCTGCAAGGAACTGAGTTCTGAGAAATGCAGTTCAATTTTCGCTAAGTTGGCACAATACAGATCCATCACGATTTGTCACATCCAAATTACCAGCACAGTAAAAGGGGAGAAAAAAAATCCAAAAAGCTTCTTTCCAGCAGAGTTCATTTAATCAGAAGCATACTGGGGCCATGAAATAACTTGGTGTCAAGCTGGACTCCTAGTGACTCCAAGAGATTTGGCATCACGTCCACCAGGCCAAGGGAGATACCCAGAGCCAGTGAATAAGACACAGGGTTCATTGAGGACTCACATACCGAGCAGTCCAGCAGTGGCAGGCTGGGCCAGAAGACCACTACCAGTTTGATCATCCTGTAATCCACATTGTAAACAGTCTCCAAGGGAAGGAGTAATATGTAACAATACCCTAGAAAGAGACTCGGGTGGGCAGGGCGTGTGGGAAGTGGGAAAGATGACCAGAGGGGAGTGTATAGCCCATGAAATGTAAATCTCAGCACAACGAGGAGGTCAACAATTAAAAAACACTATGTGTGGAAAATGCAAAACAGGGGAGTCCAGATAAGGAATTAAACCTACGCTAATAAACTAGAAGTATGGAATGATGATGGGAATGGATTTACAAAATCCAAATCCAAAGGGATTTTGTAAATCCATTCCCATCATCATTCCACAGTGTTTTCTTAGTTCATTAAGCTGAATGGATCAAGATTTGGAGGAGGGTTATTACTACAGTACAATGAAGCAACCGATGCTAATAAACGTCTATAGTTTTCCAGAAGGAAAAAAAAGCATGCAGTTTATATAGCAGTTTTCACTTAGCAACCTCCACCTAGCAATCTCCATTTAACCCAAAACAAAGGGCCTCCATCCCCTAGACAGCCTGCATTCCAAGGGATAAGCCAGAAATTCAGATGCCCTTCAAGGATGAGAAATGAATCTCCAAATTGGCCACTCCTGGATTCCTCAGCTCAGAACTCAAAACACACATGCTTCTTAAACTACAGGATCATTCTCAGTGTGTGCTTGAGTTTTTGCTGTCAGATGTGTCTGCCATTCACTTGGTTAGGGACAGCTCTCTGTAGAGCAGAGGTAATAATATTACCACCATGAAATTATACACATGTTTTTCCCCCATGCAGTTGTTGAAGCGCTTTGGAAAACCCAGGGCCTACACTTTCGTCATTTCTTCTATTAAAAATAATTGCGAGGCTGGACCTGGTGGATTGCTTGAAGTCAGGAGTTTGAGACCAGCCTGGCCAATATGGCAAAACCCTGTTTGGAATGAGAAAGCCTCAGAGCATAGCAGAAGGAGGGCAGGGCTAGGAATCAGAAAGCCTTCGTTCTTGCAGGAATTCCAACACTTACCATTTGCGTGAGTTGAGCTCATTACTCAAACCTCTGTGTATTCTTCAATAAAACGGGGATAACAGCCTCTCCTCTGCCTATATCTGGACAAGAGTATACACATTAATTGAGCTCACATGTCTGAGAATCTGCATATCACTCAGGGCTTCAAAAATCTAAGAATTAGCTGGGCATGTTGATGTTCACCTATAATCCCAGCTACTCAGGAGGCTGAGGCAGGAGAATCACCTGAATCCCAGTGACAGAAGTTGCAGTAAGCTGAGATCACACCACTGCATTCCAGCCTGGACAACAGAGTGAGACCCTGTCTCAAAATAACAATAATAATAATAATAATACTTGGGAATATTATTCAGCCATAAAAGGGAATGGAGTTCTGATGCATGCTATAACACAGATGAAGCTTGAAAACATGCTAAGTGAAATATGTCAAACACAAAAGAACAAATATAGCACGATTCTACTGAGAAGAGGTACCCACAATAGGCATATTTGTAGAGACCAAAAGTAGACTGGAAGGGCTAGGGGTAGGCAGGAATGGGAAGCTATTGTTTAACCAGTGAAGAGTCTCTATTAAGATGGATGAAAGAGTTCTGGAAATGAGCTGGGAATGGAGGCACACACCTGTAATCCCAGCACTTTGGAAGGCAGAGGTGGGAGGATCATCTAAGGTCAAGAGCTCAAGACCAACCTGGCCAACATGGTAAAACCCTGTTTCTACTAAAAATACAAGAATTAGCCAGGCATATGCCTGTGATCCCAGCTACTTGGGAGGCTGAGGCAGGAGAATCGCTTGAACCAGGAGGTGGAGGTTGTAGTGAGCTGAGATCGAGCCACTGCACTCCAGCCTGGGTGACAAAGTGAGACTCCATATCAAAAGCAAACAACAACAACAACAAAAAAAACAGTTCTAGAAATGGATAGTGGTGATGCTTGTACAACATTCTGAATGTGCTTCATGCCCTGAATTGTACACTTAAAAAATGGCTAAGGTGCTCACTTCAGCAGCACATATACTAAAATTGGAATGCTAATAGAGAAGATTAGCATGGCCTCTTAAACATGTAATAATAATAAGGAAAAAAATGACTAAGCTTGGAGGAATGCAGAGAAGATTGTCAAAGGGTACAAAATCTCAGACAGGAGAAGTATATGTTGTTTTCTTTTTTTGAGTTCTATTGCACAGCAAAGTGAATATAATTATAGAGTATTGTACATTTCAAAATTGCTAAGAGAGTCCATTTCAAATGCTTTTACCACAAAAAAAGTTAAGTATTTGAGGTGATAGATATGTTAACTAGCTTGATTTAATTATTGCACATTATATTCATAAATCATAGCATCACTTTGTACCCCATATATTTATGCAATTATAAATTATCAATTTATAATAACTTTTAAGTTTAATGGTAAACTTAAAGTTGATGGTAAAGCTAAATTGGTAAATTTTGTTGTGCATATGTGATCACAATTTAAAAAATAAGTAAATGAGTGGGTATAATACGTGCCTGGGAAAGCGCCGTTCTCTCCTGTGGTGTCTGATTTAAAAGAACTTCCAGCGCCAAAATCCAGAGGATTTGCACAGAGGAAAAAGAGCCATTTGCTGGGAGCCTCTGCTATATTTCCCAACTCCGCCTCTTCCATGCAGGTGCCAATAACCCAACTGGACAGATGGAGGGCCATTTTTACCCCGGTCCCAACAGAACATTCTCACCAAATAAAAATAGCCTTGCCAGAGGGTTTCCTCTCAACCAGGCAGGTTTCTTCCCATCCAAATAGGGAGGGATCCCCACTGATTGTGATACTTAAACCATGAATTCCAGGAAGCCAGAAATAGGAATGAGCCTCTGAGCCTCCACACTTTGCTTGCAGCACTTCTGACTTCTAGAAAGGGACTGTACAATCCCATCCACCCACCTACATCTTACCTGTCTTCAAACGATAGCCCCAGTTTTGCCTTCTTCAGGAAGTCTCTCTCACTGCACACGCCTGGAATCTGCAAATGTCTGGAAGAAATTTCCCCCATTTCCTGCAGTCAAAATACGCTTCCTATTTGGCCATATTGTTTCCTTGATTTCCCTACTAGATTTAGACAGAACATTCTAATTCTAATGGTGCCATTGCCATTCATGAAACTCTTACAGTCTGCCAGGCAAGCTGCCACCCAGTTTACATTAACCCTCGCATTTACTCCTCACAACAATCCTATGTAATGAGACTTACACTTATCTACATTTACAGATGTGGAGACTGAGGTTTGGCGAGGTTAAGTAACTTGCCCAAGGGCACAGAGTCAGTAAACAGATGCGCTGGAATTTGGATCCAATTCTGACTCCAGAAACTATGCACAGAACCACTAAGCCTTTTAGACAATGACCACACTTTTGAGACAATGACCCTCAGGGAGATATACATTTTACTTGGTGACCCAGTACACACCCACATGTGCACAAATGCACACACACAACAAAAACAAAATTTCATGAACCAACACTTACTGTACCTATTCTAATTATTATTTTTTGAATTACACATTTTTATGTGTTATTGGTGAAATGCATACAACAAAGTTTATCATCTTAACCATTTTTTATTATACTTTAAGTTCTGGGATGTGCAGAATATGTAGGTTTGCTACATAGGTATACACATGCCATGTGGTTTACTGTATCCATCAACTATTGTCTTTTTGTAACTGGCTCATTTACAGCTACTTCTTACTATTTGCATTGAATCGCTTTTTCATCCTTTCACTGTCAACCTATTTGTATTTGTTGATCTAAAGTATCATGCAGGCAGCATACAGTTGGATGGTGTTTTTTTAATCAATTCATTCTGCATTAGATATTTCTCCTAATGCTATCCCTCCCCTAGCTCCCCACCCCTCAACAGGCCCTGGTGTGTGATGTTTCCCTTCCTGCGTCCATGTGTTCTCATTGTTCAGCTCCTACTAATGAGTAAGAACGTGTGCTGTTTGGTTTTTTGTTCTTGTGTTAGTTTGCTGAGAATGATGGTTTCCAGCTTTATCCATGTCCCTGCAAAGGACATGAATTCATCCTTTTTTATGGCTGCATAGTATTCCATGGTGTATATGTGCCACATTTTTAAGTTTACAATGGTATTAAGGACATTCATATTGTTTTGCAAATATTATCATAATCTTTCTCCAGACAAGATCTCTCTCTCTCTCTCTCTCTCTCTCTGTTATAAAATAGTTACATCAAATATATATCTAGAGAGAGGAGAGAGAAAGAGAGAGAGAGAGAGAGAAAGAAATATGAAATCCTTCTGTGTTGTCCAGGCTGCTCTTGAATTCCTGGCCTTAGGCAATTCTCTCATGTCAAATTACTGGCATGAGCCACCACACTAAACCTCCAGATATTTTTTCATCTTGCAAAACTAAAGCTCTGTGTTCATTAAACAATAACTCTCTATTCCCTCCCCCCACAACCTTCTCCCCACTCCAGCCAGCATTCTACTCTATCTTTATGCATTCGACTACGCTGGGTACCTCACGTAAGCGGAATCACAGAGTCTTTGTCTTTTTGTAACTGGCTCATTTACAGCCACTTCTTACTGTTTGCATCGAATAGCTTTTTCATCCTTTCACTTTCAACCTATTTGTATTCGTTGATCTAAAGTATCTTGTAGACAGCATATAGTTGGATGGTGTTTTCTTAATCAATTCATTCTGCCAATCTCTGTGTTTAGACTGGAGAATTTAATCCATTTAAATTTAAAGTAATTGCTGAGGGACTCGGTTTTTGTCATTTTGCCATTTGCTTTCTATATGTCTTAAGCTTTTTTGTCCCTCATTTCCTGTGATCCTGTCTTCTTCTGTGTTTAGTTGACTTTTTTGTAGTGACATGTTTTAATTCCTTTCTCATTTCGTTTGTGTATAAATGCATATTTCACAGCTATTTTCCTTGTGGTTACCATGGGGATTACATTTAACATTCTTTTTTTTTTTTTTTTTTTTTTGAGACGGAGTTTCGCTCTTGTTACCCAGGCTGGAGTGCAATGGCGCGATCTCGGCTCACCGCAACCTCCGCCTCCTGGGTTCAAGCATTTCTCCTGCCTCAGCCTCCTGAGTAGCTGGGATTACAGGCACGTGCCACCATGCCCAGCTAATTTTTTTGTATCTTTAGTAGAGACGGGGTTTCACCATGTTGACCAGGATGGTCTCGATCTCTTGACCTCGTGATCCACCCGCCTCGGCCTCCCAAAGTGCTGGGATTACAGGCTTGAGCCACCGCGCCCGGCCTTACATTTAACATTCTAATGTTATACCACTCCAATCTGAATTTAAACCAGCATGACTTCAATAACATACAAAAACTCTCCTTCTATCAGCTCTGTCCCCACCCCTGTTTATTGATGTTGCAAAGTTGCATCTTTATACATTATGTGTCAAAAATCAAAAACTAATAATTTCTTATGCATTAATCTTTTAAATAGCATAGAAAACAAAATGTGGAGTTACACTAATACAAACTAAAGTTAGGATAATACAAGCTTTTATAATTACTCATGTATGTATTTTTTTAAGATCTTTATTTCCTCATACAGCTTTGAATTACTGTCTAGTCTTCTTACATGTCAACCTGCAGGACTCCTTTTAGCATTTATTGCAGGGCAGGTCTGGTGGTAATAAACTTCCTCAGTCCATTTTTGTTTATTTGGGTATGTCTCTTTTACTTTGGGAGAACAGTTCTGCCAGTTACAGAATTCTTGGTTCACAGGTTTTTTGTTGTTGTTGTTGTTGTTGTTGTTGTTTTTTAGTATATTGACTATATCAGTCCACTGCCTTCTTGCCCTCAAAGTTTCTAATGAGAAATCTGCTGATAATCTTATTAAGGATCCTTACCCCTGACAAGTTGCTTCTCTCTTGATATTTTCAAGATTTTTTCTTTGTCTTTGTTTTTGAACCGTTTTATTATAATGTGTTTTAATATGAGTCTCTTTGAGTTCATCCTGTTGAAGTTTATTGAACTTCTTGGATGTTTATATTTATGTCTTTCATCATTTAGGAATATTTTCAGCCATTATTTTCTTAAAAAAAAAAAAAAGCCTCCCTGCCCCTTTCTCTCTCTTTTCTTGTGGGATCCCCAGTTCGAGGAGAACAAAAGGAAAGGAAAGAAAATGGCCCTTTAAATACCCTGGAAGTTGCTTTAGCCAGAGTGGGAGGAGCTTGCAGTAGCGTGGGGAGGTGGGCAAAAGTGGCTGCTCACTGTGTGTCTGTATCTTCATAATCAGGAGCAGCAATCACAATCAGAACACAGATTCCCAATTTTTTTTAAGACAAAGTTCTTTTTGTTCACCCTGGCTCCTTTGCACCCTGTAAGCTGCTATAGGAACATGTGCATCGTCCCCTATGCTGGGGATAGGGAACTGTTACCTTGGTATCAGCTGAAATTGACTGAAATTAACCAAAATTTACCATCCAAGCCTTCTCTTGGAAGTTGAAATCCTTCAAATAGATGCCAGTGTTATAAAATAGTTACATCATATATATATATATATATATATATATATAGAGAGAGAGAGAGAGAGAGAGAGAGAGAGAGAGAGAGAGAAAGAGAAAGAAAGAGAGAGAGAGATCAAATACATACATATGTGTGTGTGTGTGTATGTATATATATATATATATATATATATATATATATATATATATATATGTATGTATTTAAACAGCATCTCATTCACACTGACCAGGCTGGAGCGCAGTGGTGCAATCTTGGCTCACTGCAACCTCCTCCTCCTGGGCTCAAGTGATTCTCCTGCCTTAGTCTCCTGAGTACTGAGGTTACAGGCACACCACCACACCCAGCTAATTTTTATATGTTTTGCAGAGATAGGGTTTCAGCATGTTACCCCAGTTGGTCTCAAATCACTGAGCTCAAGTGATCTGCCCATCTCGGCCTACAGAAGTGCTGGCATTGGAGGGGTGAGCCATTGCACTTGGGCAAAATTAGTTACATCAAATAGATCCTGCCAGTGCAATTGTTGTTTAGGTCAAGAGACAGATTCCTGGTGATCCCTGCTCTGCCATCTTTCCAGAATCCTCCCCTAATTGTTTTCAAATCCACTAAATTTG